CATTTGCAATGATTCTTGTGCAAGTATTGTACTGCCATTAATTTTTTCTTTCAGAAAATTTTTATGTAGTGTTGTGTTGTGCAGTAATTTTTGATTAGTAATTATTATTTGCAATATTGCTACAGTTTATTTCAGTGCAATATTATGTGATTTCAGTTTTACATTTCTTGTTCTGTGCATAATATTTTATTCTTTGTGTGTCACTTTATTTATTTTTTTTAGGAATTGCTTTCCCAGTCTATTTTAATTTTATAATTTTTGATTGATTTATCATTTATTGTTGAATTTCTTTATTGAATTGAGAGTAAAGACAACTCACTGTGCCACTAATTCAAATTAAAGTAAATATGAGTAAATTTGATCTGAATAAAGTATACTTTCTCTTGATCATCAAAGTGTTGCTTATCCAGTTGAGTGTTTTATGTGAGATTTCCTTGCTCTACAGTGTGACTTGTTATTTTTTCCTTTACTTATGCAGAATACTTAAGTATTTTCTTCCCATTTAAGCTTACTGTGTCATATATTCTCTCTATTATTCTTGCTTTTATGTCCTTGAGTAAGTTCCCTGAGATGTCCCAGTCACTTTTGTTTGCACACTTAGTTTATCATGCCAGTCAGTAAATATGAATCAGTCCACAGTCCCAATGACCCCTTACTGACTGAAAGACAATACCTAGCTCTTAGACAATGTGTTTGCTCTCACAGCTTGTATCTGAGATTTATTAAAGTGCTGCGAAATGTGAAGTTCAGATTAAGTTCCTATAGATCCGTGCATTACTTATTAACATAGCCAAGCGGTCAGGCACTAGTAATACTGTCACTCCTGTCTGGAATCCAGCCACAATATCGTGCACGCAGGATAGTGTACAGTTACCTTGGGTTTCAGAGGAACCTCAGACAACTCTGGCTGCTGAGACTACTATCCCTGCGATGGCGACTTGTTCAAGTAGTCATTACTTCCAGGGGACGCTTTGTGAAGAATGTTACTTGTAATGAGTTATGCTATCTCTTGCTGATGTCACAAGCTGTTGCAGAAAAGACATTTCTGTGGCTAGTGTACTCACTTGAGTGTTGTTGTTCCTTGTGTTCCAGATAGTGATACTATCCTTGTTGACAGTAATCCGTGCAATGTAAAAAGTTATTTCTCAAGTAACCTTCACATGTTGTTAACATTTATAAGAGCAGTCTCTTTATAGCTGATACCTTGTGTCACTGTGTGCAACTCAGAATGAATACCAGTATTGTTGACCATGTTCATTTCTTTTCCCCTATGCTTGCAGTGAGAGATAGTAGATCTGTTCTCCCTTGCTCATATTGTGTACTATAGCATTATCTTTTTTTCATCCGGGGAGAGTTGTCCACTCCACCGAGTTTGTTCATTCCCCCAGTAAGAAAGAATCGATCCTTTGTGGTCTGGTGTGATTTGATTCCTGCTCCAGGAAGATCTTGTTCTGACTGTGAAGCCACCAGCACCCATTAGTGACTTTGTAATGAGCCAAGAATTACTGTATTGAACAGCCGAATTGGGTATCCCAAGCAGAAGGGTATACCAATTAGTAATTCCACAGTCACTAGTGAATGTAGCTCTACAGCTAGTTCATGATGCACCAGGTGTTGCACACCCTGGTATGGATCGTTCAGTAAAACAAGCCAGAATGAAATACTTTTGGCCACGTATGGCAACTGATATTTCCGAGTATGGTAAGAAATGTAGTGTCTGTATGCAACATAAAGGAAATGTCAACGGTCCAAATCCTGTCCAATGTATCCCACCGCTGCCACCATTTGTTGAGAGGGTTCATGGAGATATGATGGTTGGAGATAAACACACTTGTTGGGTGGTAACACTTATATTAACCCTTTGACTGTTTCCGACGTATAAATACGTCTTATGAGCCAATGTTTCTGACGTATTTATACGCACAAATTCTAGCGGCTTCAAATCGAGCGCCAAAGGCCTGGTAGGCCTACACGGGAGAGAATGGGTCTCAGTGGTCGGTGTGCACCCTGTGAAAAAAATCTGGGACCTAGCGGTGCATTGTGGGAACGCCATGTTGTCAGTCCATTTTCACCATGCCTCTCGGTAAGAAGTTCCTCACTCCTCGGCGGATTGGAGGTCTTTTGTTCCCAAGTGATAGCTCTAACAGCGATGAAAGTGTCAGTGACAGTGAATTCAAGGGTTTTCAAGTGAGTGTTACCGAAAAAAGTGCCCAGGATAACGTAAATAGTGACGAAAACCCAGATGACCCACAACCTTCGACCTCTGGTGCTGTGCCGGCTTGTTCATGTTCACGTTCGCCTGTACCAGGACGAAAGAGGAAACTATTTGGTCGTGTACAACACCCTGATGATAGCAGTGATAGTGATAGTGATAGTGATAGTGATTTCAAGGTCATTGAAAGCAGTTCTAGTGACAGTGAGAGTGAATATTCCCCAGTGAAGCGCCAGTATGTACGACGTAGCATGCGGTCTGGTAGTGTTTCATATGTTGTTCCAAGGGGAAGGAGAAACTCTGGGAGCACATCCCGTGGCCCAACACCACGACCTGATAGTGAAGATGACGATATTGTAACGATGGGTATGAATGGTGACAGTGAGGGAGGAGGCAGTGGTGGTGATAATGAGGGTGGCACGGCCCATGTGGGCACCATCACCGGGCCACGCTACTAGCCACGCGGCTGACTCAGCAGAACAACCAGCCTCACCCTACCCCACACTGCCACAACCTGCACCACCACAACCTGCACAGCCACAACCACGGTACAATATCCAGACCCCACCAGCAGACCGCATCTGGGAATTGGCAGGACGGTGACGAGTTTGTTCCCAGTCCCCATGACTTTGATGAAACACAAAGTGGAATAAAGCCATCTTGTCCACTTGGGAACAATGCCAGTGAACTGGACTGCTTTGAGTTATTTTTCGATGAACCCCTGATGGACATCATTGTCAGGGAAACAAATACATACTGTGATTACACCATGGCAAATACAATTCTCTCACCAAAATCACGGCTACACAAGTGGAAGGAGACAACTGTGGCAGAGATGTACCTGTTTTTTGCCACAATAATGCTTATGCCACATGTGTATAAGCACACTGTCACCACATACTGGACAACAGATCGCCTGATTTCAACTCCAGGTTTTAGTGACATTATAGGTGTCAATCGTTTCCTGATACTGTTACGTATGTTACACTTTTCAGACAAAACCAGGCCTGACAGAAGCGACAGGTTATATAAGATAAGAAATGTGTTTATGTACCTGAAACAAAAGTGCTGCATGTATTTTTATCCCTTCAGGAAGCTTGTTATTGATGAGTCCTTGATTTTATTCAAAGGAAGACTCTCATTCAAGCAATATATACCAAGCAAGAGGAAACGCTTTGGTATAAAGCTATTTGTACTGTGTGATTGCAGAAGTGGTCTTGTTTTAGATATTATTGTGTACACTGGCAGTAATACTTTGAGAGATACCATGAAGTTATTGGGTATCTCTGGTGATGTGGTTCGAACAATGATGGAACCATATCTTGGTAAGGGGCATATGTTATTTACTGATAACTGGTACACAAGCCCCTTACTCAGTGATTTCTTGCGAGTGAACTTGACAGACGTGTGTGGCACAGTGCGTGGTAATCGCAAACATATGCCAAGGTTCGACGTGGCACTCGCAGAGGTGAGGTGCAAGCCTTTGCTGCCAATGACATCATGGCATTTCAGTGGCATGACAAACGTGATGTCACATTGTTGACATCAGTTCACATAAACGAAATGGTACCCAGTGGCAGGGACAACAGAGAGACCAATGAACCATTCTAAAGCCTGCAGCTGTCATGGACTACAACCTCAATATGCGCTTAGTGGACAAATGTGACATGCAGATTGGGTTTGCAGACTGTGTACGCAAGAGTTATAAGTGGTATATCAAACTTTTTTTCCATCTTGTTGATATCTCTATGCTAAATGCTTATAACATATACAAGTTGAAGACCAACAAAACACCAAAATATGGTGAATTTTGCCTGTCAGTAATCAGACAAATAATTGCAAAGTACCAAGGAGCAACTCCTGCAATAGACCAGCGCCCACAGACGTCATCTCGTTTGAGGCCTGGTGATCACTACCCCATACAACTGCCTCCTACTACTGCCAAGAAAAATGCTCAGAAGAGGTGTTATGTATGTATGCATACCACAAAACGCCCACAAACACGCAGAGACACTCGTTTTATGTGTGAGGAGTGTGAAGTGCCCCTCTGCATATACCCATGTTTCAAAGAGTTCCACAAGCTGCAGCAGTTCTAGGAACGTGTTTAGTGACTGTACATATGTATATATATTATGGAACAATAGTAATAAACATTGTTTTGTATTGTTTGTTTGTGTAAACAAAGTGTATACACAAACTAATAGTGATAAAGTTTGTTCTGTTATTGTGTTGTAAACAATGAGTGTATATTTGAACAATGCACCTTACATTGGTCTCACAGGCCACATAAGTTACCTGGAACAGAAAAATACTGAAAAATGCAAGAAACCTTTGAATTAGAGTAAATAAAAGAATACCGGGTGGGCGGCAGTCGCCGCTGTTGCCGTACGCACGTCAATTTCTGCAAACTTTGCGGCTCTATATCTCGGTAAGTACTGATGGCAAAAATTTTTTTTAGGCTTAAAACACTAGTAAAAATATTCCTAACATTTTCATAAGAAAAAATAATTTTTTTTTTTTCGAATATTTGGCGACATAGAATGACAGTTTCAGAGAGGGCCCTGAAACAGTCAAAGGGTTAACAGAGTGTGAGAGGGGAGCCCAGCCTAGCCTGTCCTGTTGCCTTTAGGTCTATGCATAATCTGAGAGAGAGGCAGCGTGTCTCATGCTCACATGCGGCATCATGTGACATCACACATGCTAGTCACTGGGCCTAGCAAAGGGGTCATGTATGTAAAACATATGGATGGTACTATGATACTCAGATAACATACACATATACAGGGGATCAGCAACTATGCTGACAGCCTGCCAGACAGGCAACCAGCTAGGCAACCAGCCAGGCAGGCAACAAGCCAAGGAGGTAACCAGCCAAGGAGGTAACCAGCCAAACAAGCAACCAGCCAGGCAGGCAACCAGCCAAGGAGGTAACCAGCCAAACAGGCAACCAGCCAGGCAGGCAACCAGCCAGGCAGCCTTCCAGGCAGGCAACCAGTTAGGCAGGCTGCCAGGCAGGCAAGCAGCCAGGTAGGCAACCAGGCAGATAGCCTGCCAGGCAGGCAACCAGCTAGGCAACCAGCCAGGTACCTGCCAGGCAGGCAACCAGCTAGGCAGGTAGGCACCCAGGTAGGGAGTCAGGCAGGCAGTTAGGGAGGCATCCAGCCAGGCAACCAGCCAGGCAGGCAACCATTTAGGCAACCAGCCAGGCAGGCAACTGGCAGGCAGGCAACCAGCCAGGCAGGCAACCGGCAGGCAGGCTGCCAGGCAGGCAACCAGCCAAGCAGTCTGGCAGGCAGGCAGGCAACCAGGCAGGTAGGCAGCCATGCAAGCAAGCAGCCAGGCAACCATCTAGGCACCCACGCAGTGGGTCAGACCGGCAGATAGGCAGGCTACCAGTAAGGCAGCCTCTAAGACAGGCAACTAGCCAGGCAGCATGTCAGGCAGGCAACCAGCCAGGTAGCATGCCAGGCAGGCAACCAAGCAGGCAGCTTGCCAGGCAGGCAATCAGCCATGCAGCCTGGCAGGCAGGCAACCAGCCAGGTAGACTGTCAAGCAGCCAACCAGCCAGGCAGCATGGAGGCAGGCAACCAAGCAGGTAGCTTGCCAGGTAGGCAACCAGCCACGCAGCCTGCCCAGGCAGGCAAGGAGCCAGGCAGCCTGTCAGGCCAGTAACTAGCCAGGCACATTGCCAGGCAGGCAGCCAGCCTGGCAGACAGCCAGCTAGGCAGGTAGGCAAGCAGCCAGGCAGACAACAAGCTAGGCAGGTAGTCACCCATGCAGGGAGTCAGGCATGAAGTCAGGCAGGTAGCCAGGCAGGCAACAAGGCTGGCAGCCTGCTAGGCAGGCAACCAGCCAGGTAGCCTGCGAGGCAGGCAACCAGCTATGAAGGTAGGCACCCAGGCAGGGAGTCAGACAGACAGCTAGGCAGGCAACGAGCTATGCACCCAAACAGGGATTCAGACAGGCAGCCTGCAGGCAACCATCCAGGCAGCCTGGCAGGGAGGCAGTCAGCCAGGCAGACAACCAGCCAGGCATCCTTCCAGGCAGGCAACTAGGCAGGCAGTGAGCCAAGCAGCCTGCCCGGCAGGAAAACCAGCCAGGCAGCCTACCAGGCAGGCAACCAATGAGGTTACCATGCCAGGCAGGCAAGGAGCCAGGCAGCCTGTCAGCAAGTAACCAGCCAGGCAGGCACCCAGCTAGGCCCCTGCCAGGCAGGCAACCAGCCTGGCAGACAACCAGCTAGGCAGGTAGTCACCCAGGCAGGGAGTCAGGCATGAAGTCAGGCAGGTAGCCAGGCAGGCAACAAGGCTGGCAGCCTGCTAGGCAGGCAACCAGCCAGGCAGGTATGCAGCTAAGCACGAAAGCAGCTATGCAGCGTGCAGCCTGCCAGAAAGGCAACCAGCCAGGGAGCCTGCCAGGCAGGCAACAACTAGGCACACAGGCAGGGAGTCAGTCAGGCAACCAGCCAGCCAGCCAAACCAGCCAGGCAGGCAACCAGCCAGGTAGCCTGCGAGGCAGGCAACCAGCTATGAAGGTAGGCACCCAGGCAGGGAGTCAGACAGACAGCTAGGCAGGCAACGAGCTATGCACCCAAACAGGGATTCAGGCAGGCAGCCTGCAGGCAACCATGCAGGCAGCCTGGTAGGGAGGCAGTCAGCCAGGCAGGCAACCAGATAGACAGCCTTCCAGTTCAGGCAACCAGCCAAGCAGCCTGCCGGGTAGCGAACCAGCCAGGCAGACAACCAGCCAGGCAAGCAACCAGCCAGGCATTCTTCCAGGCAGGCAACTAGGCAGGCAGTGAGCCAAGCAGCCTGCCCGGCAGGCAAGCAACAGGCAGCCTGCCAGGCAAGCAGCCAGCAAGGCAGCCTGACAGGCAGGTAACCAGCAGGCAGGCAACAAGCCATGCAACTAGCCAGGCAGCCTGCCAGGCAGGTCAATCAACCAGGCGGGCTGCCTGGCAGGCAACCAGCCAGGTACGCAAACCACTAGGCAGCCTCCCAGGCAGGCAACACAGCCAGGCAGCCTACCAGGCAGGCAACCAATGAGTGTACCATGCCAGGCAGGCAAGGAGCCAGACAGCCTGTCAGGCAAGTAACCATCCAGGCAGGCACCCAGCTAGGCACCCTGCCAGGCAGGCAACCAGCCTGGCAGACAACCAGCTAGGCAGGTAGTCACCCAGGCAGGCAGTCAGGCATGAAAGTCAGGCAGGCAGCTGGGCAGGCAACATGGCTGGCAGCCTTCCAGGCAGGCAACCAGCTAGACAGCTTGCAAAGCAGGTAACCAGCCAGGCAGACAACCAGCCAAGCAGTCTGCCAGGCAGGCAACCAGCTAGGCAGGCAGGCACCCAGGCACGGAGTCAGGCAGGCAGCCAGCCTGGCAGACAGCCACCTTGGCAGACAGCCAGCTAGGCAGGTAGGCAAGCAGCCAGGCAGACAACAAGCTAGGCAGGTAGTCACCCATGCAGGGAGTCAGGCATGAAGTCAGGCAGGTAGCCAGGCAGGCAACAAGGCTGGCAGCCTGCTAGGCAGGCAACCAGCCAGGCAGGTATGCAGCTAAGCACGAAAGCAGCTATGCAGCCTGGCAGCCTGCCAGAAAGGCAACCAGCCTGGGAGCCTGCCAGGCAGGCAACCAACTAGGCACCCAGGCAGGGAGTCAGTCAGGCAACCAGCCAGCCAGCCAACCAGCCAGGCAGGCAACCAGCTATGAAGGTAGGCACCCAGGCAGGGAGTCAGACAGACAGCTAGGCAGGCAACGAGCTATGCACCCAAACAGGGATTCAGGCAGGCAGCCTGCGGGCAACCATCCAGGCAGCCTGGCAGGGAGGCAGCCAGCCAGGCAGGCAACCAGGCAGGCAGCCTGACATGTAGGCAATCAGCCAGGCAGGCAACCAGCCAGGCATCCTTCCAGGCAGGCAACTAGGCAGGCAGTGAGCCAAGCAGCCTGCCCGGCAGGCAAACAGCCAGGCAGCCTTCCCGGCAGGCAACCAGCGAGGCAGCCTGACAGGCAGGTAACCAGCCAGGCAGGCAACAAGCCATGCAACCAGCCAGGCAGCCTGCCAGGCAGTCAATCAACCAGGCGGGCTGCCTGGCAGGCAACCAGCCAGGTATGCAACCACCTAGGCAGCCTCCCAGGCAGGCAACCAGCCAGGCAGCCTACCAGGCAGGCAACCAATGAGGTACCATGCCAGGCAGGCAAGGATCCAGGCAGCCTGTCAGGCAAGTAACCAGCCAGGCAGGCACCCAGCTAGGCACCCTGCCAGGCAGGCAACCAGCCTTGCAGACAACCAGCTAGGCAGGTAGTCACCCAGGCAGGGAGTCAGGCATGAAGTCAGGCAGGTAGCCAGGCAGGCAACAAGGCTGGCAGCCTGCTAGGCAGGCAACCAGCCAGGCAGGTATGCAGCTAAGCACGAAAGCAGCTATGCAACCTGGCAGCCTGCCAGAAAGGCAACCAGCCAGGGAGCCTGCCAGGCAGGCAACCAATTAGGCACCCAGGCAGGGAGTCAGTCAGGCAACCAGCCACCCAGCCAACCAGCCAGGCAGGCAACCAGCCAGGTAGCCTGCGAGGCAGGCAACCAGCTATGAAGGTAGGCACCCAGGCAGGGAGTCAGACAGACAGCTAGGCAGGCAACGAGCTATGCACCCAAACAGGGATTCAGGCAGGCAGCCTGCAGGCAACCATGCAGGCAGCCTGGCAGGGAGGCAGTCAGCCAGGCAGGCAACCAGGCAGGCAGCCTGACAGGTAGGCAATCAGCCAGGCAGGCAACCAGATAGACAGCCTTCCAGTCAGGCAACCAGCCAAGCAGCCTGCTGGGTAGGCAACCAGCCAGGCAGACAACCAGCCAGGCAAGCAACCAGCCAGGCATTCTTCCAGGCAGGCAACTAGGCAGGCAGTGAGCCAAGCAGCCTGCCCGGCAGGCAAGCAGCCAGGCAGCCTGCCCGGCAGGCAACCAGCGAGGCAGCCTGACAGGCAGGTAACCAGCCAGGCAGGCAACAAGCCATGTAACCAGCCAGGCAGTCAATCAACCAGGCGGGTTGCCTGGCAGGCAACCAGCCAGGTACGCAACCACCTAGGCAGCCTCCCAGGCAGGCAACCAGCTAGGCAGCCTACCAGGCAGGCAACCAAAGAGGTACCATGCCAGGCAGGCAAGGAGCCAGGCAGCCTGTCAGGCAAGTAACCAGCCAGGCAGGCACCCAGCTAGGCACCCTGCCAGGCAGGCAACCAGCCTGGCAAACAACCAGCTAGGCAGGTAGTCACCCAGGCATGAAGTCAGGCAGGCAGCTGGGCAGGCAACATGGCTGGCAGCCTTCCAGGCAGGCAACCAGCTAGACAGCCTGCAAAGCAGGCAACCAGCCAGGCAGACAACCAGCAAAGCAGTCTGCCAGGCAGGCACCCAGGCACGGAGCCAGGCAGGCAGCTAGGGAGGCAGCCAGCCAGGCAGCCTGCCAGGCAAGCAAACAGCCAGGCAGGCAACCAGCCAGGCAGGCAACCGGCAGGCAAGCTGCCAGGCAGGCAGGCAACCAGCCAGGCAGCCTACCAGACAGGCAACCAGACAGGCAGCCTGCCAGGCAGGGAACCAGCCAAGCAGTCTGGCAGGCAGGCAACCCGTCTGGCAGGCAACCAGGCAGGCAACCCGTCTGGCAGGCAACCAGGCAGGCAACCAGGCAGGCAGTCTACCAGACAGGCAGTCTACCAGACAGGAAACCAGCCAGACAGGTATGCAGCTATGCAGGCAAGCAGCCAGGCAACCTGCCAGGCAGGCAACCAGCTAGGCACCCACGCATGGAGTCAGGCAGGCAGATAGGCAGGCGACCAGCCAGGCAATGTGCCAAGCAGGCAACCAGCCAGGCAGCATGCGAGGCAGGCAACCAGCTAGGCACCCACGCATGGAATCAGGCAGGCAGATAGGCAGGCGACCAGCCAGGCAGCA